CACAAGTCTTAAAGTTGCCAAGGTTGGACACCCCTGGTCTAGGCATTTAGTGCCAAGTTGGAGGATGGTTTTTGTTCTCTGACCACACTCCTAGGAAAGGAAAATTAGAGGGAGAAGGGGAAAAATTATTCAATTACATTGCAGGTTCTTTTCATAACAATAACATTGAACAGCTTAATTAATAGTGACCCACTGAAAGTTTCAAAGCCACTTTGAGTCAGAAACCCTACGCCATCCAGCAGGTCTGCTGGCTCATATCATGGCCTCCAGGGTAGTGGATATTTTGTCCCACTTTTGGAGAAGGTCTCCACCCAAAAACAATTCCTTGTGCTCCTTCTTCACTCAGGTGTTTCTCTCCAATAGAAATAAATGTGCAGGATAGATAGTAATTCTTATCTCTTCTAGTCCTGGCCTTTTAGAGCAATCTTCTTTCAGCTTGATCCTGTCAGGTGTTTTGAGTCATAAATTCTTACGTATCACCTGCCCAAATTGGCCATGATGTGAGTTGTAACTCAATATGTCTTGAGGATGCTCAGGAACAGATTAAGGTTGGAAGATCAAAACCAGCTCCTGGAGCACTTGTATGACATGAAGATCACATAGATTTTGGATTTCTGCTTAAACATCTAAAAGGTTTAAGAGCCAGATGGTGGCCTCAGAAAGCATTCTGTTTCTCCAGAAATGCGTAGTAAATATAACACAGGAGATGACATCACCACACTTCACCACAGACCAACTAACAGCCTGGAAGGAGGAGCTGGGGAATGGCAAAACCAATACACATGTGATTTTGCAACCTATGATTTTGAAAGAGAAAAAAAGGAAGTGTTGGTGGTGTGAAGCTTGCACAGCGACCTGTCAATTTCCGCCTATACTGTGGTTTACATTAACAACAATATAGTTTTTGTGTCATGAAAGGAATGGCTCTGCTCAGCTTTGATCCCACTTTAAACAGAGGGCTTTCTTCAGTTATTAACACTTTAGCAGTTCATTAGATTCTACAAAGTGCGAATGAGATGTGGAGATGGTGAGAAACTTGGAGAAAAGCTCTATAAGGAAGAATTGGAGGGTAGAGCTAAGCATCAATTTGATAGATGATTTCAAATTTTTCAAATTTCAAGCCAGCATGGAATTCTGGGAGTTGGAGTCCACATATCTTAAAGTTGCCAAACACTGTTTTACAAGGTTGAGAAACACTGTTTTACAAGGTAGTAGACTAATAACAGAATGGTAGTTGGAAGGGACCTTGGAGATCTTCTAGTCCAACTCCCCTGCTTAAGCAAAAATCCCTAGAAGATTTTGGTCAAATGGTTGTCCAATCTCTTCTTAAAAACCTCCAGCGTTGGAGGAGCACCCACAACTTTTGAAGACAAGACTAACCTCAAGAATCTCAAAGCAGGGATTCCAGAAGTTGGATTTTAAAGGAGTAGATCTCCTGAAGGACTAGATTACCTTTCAACTCTTCAAGGCCAATTGTGAGCTCATCCATAGTACCACTGGAATCAAAATAGCAATAGCACTTAGACTTATATATTGCTTTACAGTGCTTTACAGCCCTCTCTAAGTGGTTTACAGAGTCGGCCTATTGCCCCCAATAATCTGAATCCACATTTTACCCACCTTGGAAGGATGGAAGGCTGAGTCAACCTTGAGCCTGGTGAGAATCGAACTGCCAAATTGCAGTTCAGCAGTCAGCAGAAGGAGCCTGCAGTACTGCACTCTAACCACTGTGCCACCGAGGCTTTTGCTAAAATGATACTCTTGTAGTATTGCACTCCTCTTGGTGGTTCTCTTCCATTTATAGTTTATTGGAGGATACCTATAGATCTTCTCTTATGCTATGCAGAAGTCAGTAAGTAAATCAGCTACTGCAATTATTAGATTATTGGACCTACACTGGGAAATGCCAGCATTGGAAATCACCTTTGAGTTGCAAAGCTCATTGGACCACCCTCTTTGGGAGCCACCCTCTTTCCTTCAGCGTCACCTGCCTCACAGGGTTCTTAGAAGGACAAAAGGAGGCGTATCCATATTTTTATGGCATTGAGTTCTTTGGAGGATGGTTGAGATAACAGTGACGATAATAATTTTAGTAGTTAGCTTTCAATGGAGGTATATTCTGCTAATTAAATATACATTCTTGTCTGGTCAGAAACACTTAAATTGGACGCTGTGCCATACAGCGTAAACATTTTTTGCTGTAATACATTTATTCTTCAAGGTGTTAAAATACTATGTTTCCCCAAAAAATAAGACTCTGTCTTATATATTTTTTGCCACCAAAAAAGGCACCAGGTCTTATTTTCAGGGATGTCAGCCACTGACTAACCTCACTTGCACGCGTCGCCCCTGGCCTCCTTTTCACTGTCAGAGGCCTTCAGAAACTTCTTCCGCAGCCAGAAAGTCTTACCTAAAGGCCTCTGTGGCCAATAACAGAGCTCCAGATCAATCTGGAGCTTTGTTATCAGCTACAGAGGCCTTCAGGAAAGCCTTGCTGGCTGCAGAAGAAATGGGCTATCAAGGCAGGTGTCGGGGTGTGCGAAGCCTGGCTACAACTGTCCAAAGGTAAGTAGTAGGGCAGCTCCACCCCCCCCCCCATCCCCAGCTTAATTTTTACCCCTGCTCTGGAGTGGGCGGGATCTTAATTAGGGCTTATTTTGGCGGTAGGGCTTATATTGGGCGCACATATAAAAAATCAAGCTAGGACTTACTTTCAAGGGAGGTCATATTTTCGGGGAAACAGGGTAACTTTTTCCTGTTTGCAACAGTTTATGACCAGAGATATCTAGAATGATTAACGCCTTTTCCTTGATCTTACTTGAAGCAGATTTTGAACATTACAAAAAATCTCAACAGGACATGATTTACTTGCTTTTGATGCAGGATGGCAAAAAATGGAATTGGGTTATTACATTTTTGGAGGCTATTTGGAAGAGAAAGAGAGAGAGAGAGAGAGAGAGGGAGAGGATGTGTCAGATAAATGCATTTCTTCCTGTGCAGCTACTCAAGACTTTCTGGAACATATTTGAGGAGTGGAGCAGGGGAAAGGGGGAAGGGAAGAAAAGGAAATTCTGTTGCATAAGCGGAAGTCCACTCACACCACATCTGATAACAATCCCTGCGATTATCTTCTGGAGCCCCCATGAAATTTCTCTGACAGCTATTTTTTTCTCTTGGGTGCAGAGTGGAAATTGAGCAAAGACAAGTGACCTCCGGAGAACATTTGTGAATCACGCAGCATGTGATAAGTTTGTGCATGCTTTTTCTTGTTTCTAACCATGCAGGCTCGGAGCACAGACAGCATTGATGCAACAGGCGAGGGACAAGTCCGTACTTTGGGCAACGCTACCAGTAACCTCAAGGGAAAACCAATCAAGAGGTAACTCGGAGGCAGAGGAAGTGCTGGGGAGCATGGGCTTGTGATGTGCGAGCCGACTTTGAGTTTTGTCAGCTCCTCCCAGATGGGGGGCATTTAACATCTCACTCCAAAGATAATCTGCATTTTTTTTCTCTTTGCCACAGTATTTTATTTGCCACAGTAGAAAGAAAAATAGAAGTAGCCAAATTTAGAAGGGCCCTAAATTTAGCTTAGTTTAGTTTAGTTTAGTTTATTGTTATGCACCTCATACAATGAAATTAAATGCCATCTTCAGTATACATTATACATAAAAAACAACACATTCTTCACATTCTATACAATTGAACTGAAAACCCCTGATATTGCATTAATATTGCACTATACAGTAGAATTCAGTATAGCTATTGCTGTGGGATAGAAGCTGTTTTTCAGCCTATTTGTCCTTGTTTTTATTATCCTGTACCGTCTGCCAGATGGTAATAGTTCAAAAAAAAACAAAGGGTGCCCAGGATGAGATGGATCTTTGAGAATGTTTTGAACTTTCTTAAGGCAGCAGGAGCTCTAAAGCTCTTCCAAGGAGAGGAGAGAGCAACCAATGATCCTCTGGGCAATGACATTAACCCTCTGGAGCGCTGTCCTATCTGCAATTGGCCAACCATACACAGGTGCAGTAAGTTGAAATACTCTCTATGGTGCAGCAGTAGAAGGTCACCAGCAGTTTTCCATTCAGTTGTTGTTTCCTGAAAACTCTCAGGTAGTATAATCTCTAGTATAATAAAGGAAGGATGCAATCTTGCTGATACATGGGTGTGTCTTTGTAACAGCATAATAAAGTCTGAAAGCATCTTGATGATGAAGAAGGCTTCTCCAGGCATCCAGCAGTCTCAAACTTGGGCCTGCCACGTGTCTTGGGACGTTTTTCAGAATTCCTAGCCAGCATGCGAGGACTTCTGGGTCTTGCCTCATCTGGAGGTTCCAGGTGGCAGAAGATTGGTCCACATCAAGCAGTGGAATTAAAATGGAGATAAATACAAAGCAATTAAGGATTGGAGAGGCCCAGGAGTTCACAGTAAGGCTGGGCTTAGAGTGATTGCTTTTAATATTTTCCCAAAAGTAGAGATGGAGAGTTCATGCTTCCTAGAAACCCTAACCAGCATGGCCAATGATGAAGGATGCTGATGGTTGCACAATTTCACAGTTTCTTTTCGTTGGCCACAGATCATAATGGTTTGGCTTCCTGATGAAATTGAAGTTTGGAATTTTCAATTTCCTTGATTCATTTCCAGGGTCTTTTTTTTTTTGCTTCGCAGGCTTTCTATCACACGAGGCCATTTCCCCAAGCTGACTGAATGTGCCCATTTCCACTATGAGGCCGTGGACTTCGGACACATCCAGGTGTGTGAATACAATCCCCCCCTTCTTTTCCCAAGGACATGAATATTCCTTGGAGCTCGGATGTCTTTGACAAACAGGGCATTTAGTGGGTAGATGTAAATGATGTTAAAATTGAAACATATCCTATAACTATTTTTTGTTTGCTCTTTCCAGCTTCAGTTTGCACCTGATCAAAATGAAAACCTCAACAGTTTGGAAGAGGGAAGCCTTTTATTCCCTGTTCAGGTTACCTGTCAGGTGAGAGATGACAACGGTTGGCAAAACCTGTTGAGTTAGTTTCTTAGTGTTACACTCTTTTCTCATCTAATGTAGGGTTTTTGAGTGATTAGTTGCTGCTAATCCAAGAAAGAAAGATTACACATATAATTAACTACTGTGCAAATTACCGAAACTCTGCTATAGATATAAGGCCTGGACCAGTGTAAGGCTATTTATTTATTTGTGAGGTTACTATCCCACTGTTTCTATAGAAGATCAAAGCTGTGTGCAAAGTGCTCCTCCCTCTTATTTTTCTTCAACCATTTGTTCACCATAACATATCTACGAGATACGTTCAGCTGAGAGAGAATGCCTAGCTCAAAAGGCAACTGGACTTTGTTTTTGCTTGAAGAAGTTTCGCTTCTCACCCAAGAAGCTTCTTCAGTTCTGTCAGTCAGAATTGAAGAAGCTTCTTGGATGAGAAGCGGAACGCCTTCAAGGAAAAACAATGTCAAGTGGCCCCTTGAAAAGGCACCTTTGGGATAACCATGACCTGGATGACTGAGAATGTCCATAGACATTTGACTAATTCAGCGTTTCTATGGCTGAAGGTAGACTCAAGCCTGGGACTCACCATCTGTAATCACCTACCACACGTAGTTCTAATTGCATTTATACATGTTGGGTTTGACATACAAACAGGCGTAGTGTTGGTAGGCTTCAGTCTCATTGATAAAGCCACTTACAACATTTCCTTACTTTATTCTAGGGGAAAAGCTGGCAGGTACATCGCAGCTATGAGGAATTCCGCACCTTGGATGCTCATCTCCATTGCTGTATCTTTGACCGGCGTTTCTCTCAGCTTCCTGAATTGCCTCCCCTCAGCCATGTGCAAGCTCATCCTGAGGTGACTGTCTGGGAATTATTTTGCAGCTTGTGTATGTGGGTGGGAACACTTTCTGTGTCCAGCTAATACTTCCCAATCATTGGGTTGACCTTTGTGTTCAGCAATGGTTGCTCAACATCTTTAGGTTTGTTGCTGTCATGCCCCTGGTGGAGACTGACTCTGAGGGAAAAGAGGAACAGGCGACACAGGGAGTGGAAGTGTGGCTCCGGAGGTTGGGGAGGAGGCTGGGGAAGGGCAGAGGCCGGCTGGGCAGACAGAGGAGAACCCAGGCCCATCCCCTATCCATCCTAGGGCACGCAGGGAGGAGAGGATAAGGGAGAGATGTGGTCTCCTTGGGAGGAGAGGGCCTTGATCCTCTTCATGGGCTGCAGCTGTGACAACTGAATAAGAGTTTGGACCTGTGTACTGGTGAACGCTGGAAACAAAGCATGTAAATATCTCTAGTTTATAGTTCCTCTCTGAGTTTGGCGTCCTTCCCAGTGTGTGTTATCTTGTATGATGAATAGTGGAAGAATAACCAGAGTGGTCTCCTATTACACTAAGAGCGTCAACTTTTCTGTCAAAATTTTGGAGGGAAAAACCTCACCTGGAATATGGGAATGGGTTGTAGCGTAGAAGTTACATAAATTGCAGCCAGAACATCCTTGACATTGTCATTTGAGAGGTTCAAATGGAAGGTCATTTGAAAGCCATCTACAAGATTCGCTGGAACATTGTTTCTCAACTTCAGGAATATTAAGATGCATGGATTTCAATTCCCAAAATCTCTTGCACTGCATGCTTTCTGAGGAATTCTGGGAATGGAAGTCCTCTCTTTTTAAAGTTGCTGATCTTGAGAAATACTGCTCTAGAAAATAATTGCTATTCAGAGTAAGACATTCCTGGATAAGATGATCTGCCATGAAGAATTTTTTCCCAATGGGGAAATTTCCCAACCTCTCTCCCAAGCTGTTGTTGGTTCTTCTGGAAACTTGAATTTGGAAAAGACTTCAGCTATTTATATTGTTTACTAGCTCGATACCCGTGCTTTGCTACAAAACTATGTGGTCGGGCTTAGTTTTTGGGGAGGAAAATAAGGGGAAAATTTCTGCCTCTGCCCATCAGCATCCATCGGTATTCATCTGGCTAGCGTCCTGTCAGTGTGTGAGATAGTTGAGGGCTGTTTGGAAACTGAAACAGTATTTTCTGTGTGAGCAAGAAGGAGACAGCAAGGAGCCTGGATGTGGCTTAGCTCAACTATACTGTACTAAAGCTGCTTGGTGCTGTGAAACCAAAACTGAAGCTCCTCTCCTCTGCTTGTGTTTTGCATTTGAAACAGATTTCTTTCCAGGTGGGGAGGGGGAGTAGAACTCCTTAGCATCAGAGAGTGTTAATAATAATATATGAAATACTAATGCTCTGATGGTCATTTCGAAAAATCCTTTCTTAGTGAGCACTTAGAAGCGAAATCACATGCCAAATTTCAAGTTTGTAGGCTTATGGTTCTGGAGATTTTACGATGATGCCTGAGTGGTATTTCACTTTTACATAGAGAGATTTCTCTCCCTTACAGCTCCTGGTGCCCATGCTTTCACAATATCTTGAGAAGCTTTCTGCTATTGTGGATAGCAATATCAATTGCAGCCCAGTTCTCACCTGGATGGAGGTGAGAGCATCTTTTGTTGACTGGGGTGAGGGTGAGGGGGAGAGAGAGAGAGATAGAAAACATGGCAACTTAATTATTTTATTAAACTTATATGGTTACCCAGTTCTATAGTAAGTGTGATAGTAACATCATCTAAGTGATTGGTGCTAGAGTTCCCAGAGGAGATTGAGTTTGTGGTTAGGTAGAAATGCCAAGGAATCAAAAAGCTTATTTTCTCCCCTGCTTTTTCATAAACCACATTCCCACCCCTTAGCAGTAAGCTGCTAAAATTTGCTAGAATAATTTTGGGTGATCACAACCTCCTCACTCCAAAAGATGACAAGGCCCTTATTTGATCTGCAACTTTTTCATCCTTAACGTAAAGCATATCTAACGGCTGATCCTCATCTTTGTCCAATTCATAAACAAATTTGTCTAATGTCTGTTCTGCTCTCTGCTCAAATGACATTTAGTCATTTGACTAAATCAGGGGACCCCAAACTTGGCAACTTTAAGACTTGTGGACTTCAACTCCCAGAATTCCATGCTGGCTGGAGAATTCTAGGAGTTGAAGTCCACAACTCTTAAAGTTGCCAAATTTGGAGACCTCTGGACTAAATAAGCACATACATATGATTCTCTTTGAGAAGCTGCAGTTGGCCCTCTGCTTACAACCATAATAGAGCCCAGAATTATGGATGTAAGCCCTGCCAGTTGTTAAGCGGGTCATACAATCCAATTTTATGACTTTTTTGTGGCAGTCATTAAGAGAACCCACTGCAAAACAACGCTGTAAATCGTTGCCACATAACTGTGGAACACTGCAACGGGCTGTAAATACAGACCAGTTGCCAAATGCCCAAAATGCAATCAAATGACCACAAAGGGGACCTGATCATTGTCGCTTCTAATCTGATGATAAGTGTCTTCTTTGCAGTCCATCATAACTTTGCATGGTCAACTAAGCAAGTGGTACTTAAACGAGGCCTACCTGACATCACAGCTTTTACTTATACTGCCTGGGAACGATGTAAGAAGTTTTTCAATGCATCTGTTGAGCACCAGATTATAGAAGGTGCTTTTGTGTATGAAAAGCATTGTGGGAAAACTAAATGAGGGCATCATTGCCATCCTGTAGATGGGAAAATATTTTCAGGGATAGCATACATTCCCCCCAGGGGTGGGATCTGACCAGGATAACAACCGGTTTGGGAAGTGCGCACATGCACGTCAAATGCTCTGCAAGCGCATGCGCATTACCAGCTCCGGCAAGCATTTACCTTCTTCAGCTGGTGAGCTGCGCTGCGCAAAGCAGCTGAGGAGGAAAACGCAGCACTAAAGGACAGCCTAGAACCCAGGCGGGCAGGAGGGCCAAACAACAGACCAAAAGCTCGTCCCAGCGAGCAGGTTCACGGTGAGCTGCTCTTCGGAGCAACCGGTTCTATAGAACCAGACTGAACCGGTAGGATCCCACCCCTGATTCTCACCAAGTTAAGCTGAACTCCTATTTTGAAAAGTAAAGTTGTCCTGCCGGAAAATAGACGACAATCCTATACTTATTCTACAACCCAATTTTAGAGGCCTGGAATCCAAAGGACGTTCCAAAGCTGAACCCCATTAAGTTGACACCTTCCGGTTGTTTCATTTCAGCTTGATAATCACGGCAATCGACTCTTGGTGAATGAAGAAGCTTCTATCAATGTTCCTGCCATTGCAGCTGCTCATGTGGTTAAACGTTACACAGCACAGGCCTGCGATGAGCTCTCTTTCGAGGTGAGCCCTTCCACCAACACAACTCACCTGACTTCCAACAGCCGATCTTCGTAGGCTCATGGCTCTCTAAGCTTGTTAGGCAAACTACAGCTCCATCTCTATTCCTTGATAAAAAGCTATTTGGACATCCGTTTTCTGTTCTTTAGCAAAAAGAAAGCAACACTCTAGTTCAGGGGTTGGCAGCCTGTGTCTCTAGAGCCGCATGTGGCTCTTTCGTCCCTCGGCTGTGGCTCCTGTTGTCTGTCGGCTCCACAATTGATAGGGCTTTTGGTTAGGACAAGTAGAGGAAAAAGGACACCATGGTAGGAGGAGACTCTATGATGGGGGAACCGGACTTCCGGTCGGCTCCAGAATTGAATGGGGGATTTCTGGTTAGGACCTTTGTGGCTCTTTGAGTGTTTAAGGTTGCCGACCCCTGCTCTGGTGCAATGTTTATCAAACTTAGCAGTTTTAAGATATGTGAACTTCAACTCCCAGAATTCCCCAGCCAGCTTCAGTCCTCAACTTAAGACCATAATTGAGACTGAAATTATGGTTGTAAGTCATTGGAGTCGCTCAGCGGGTCACCACATAACCGGACCTGATTTTATTATTATTTTTTTCAAGTTGTTGTTAATTGAATGCTGTGGTTTTTAAGCCAATCCATCTAACTCAATGGGTGTTTTTGCCAGAAACTGGAAGTAAATGCCAGTCACCGGCAAAAAAAAAAACCCATCAAAAAATATGTGACTGTGGAAACTGCTAATGGCCATAAAGGTGAACTGGTTGCCTAGTGCCCAAAAATGCAATTACATAACTACAATGGATGTGTGGTTGTTGTAACTTCAAAATCAGGGTTGTGGGTAGCTTTTGGCTGGTCCTTTGTAACTTCAAATGGTCATTAAGTAACCTGTCGTAAATCAAGGTCTATCTGTAGATTATTTTTCTTATTTGATGGGTTGGCAGTAAACTGGAATCCATCTGCATGATGTTGAATCTCTCGGCATGGTATGTATCAGTGGTGGCTAACCTTTTTGGGCTCCTGTGCCAAAAATTGTGCATGTGCTTGCACTCGCGTGCCAGCACCCAGAAAGCAATGCGCCCCCCCCCCCACGCCCCCTACACATGCACACGTAACCCCCACTCACTCACCCCGTCCCTCCTTACCTGCACTGCGCCTCACAGCTGATTTTTGGCTGGTTTGAGGCCTTTTTTGGCTTCCCAAAGGCTTGAGGAAGGCTTCTGCAGGCTTCTGCAGGCCGAAAACTAGCCCCGTTTCGTCACTTCAGGTATTTTTGAAAAATCAGGAAGTGACGAAACGGGGCGAGTTTTCAGCCTGTAGAAGCCTTCCTCAAGCCTTTGGGAGGCTGAAAAAGGCCTCAAACTGGCCTAAAATCAGCTGTGAGGCACGTGCATGCCCAGGGAGGTAAGTTTGCCTGCAGCTCCGTGCCAGCACAAATGGCTCTGCGTGCGTTCACCATCCTGGGTATATATAATCCTTTTTTTAAAAAAAAAATCTGTTTATCGTAGGTTGGAGACATAATTTCCGTGATTGACATGCCCCCCAAGGAGGACAGGAGCTGGTGGCGTGGGAAGCATGGATTCCAGGTTAGACTTGAGCAAAGCGGCTGTGTAAATGAAGTTGGGATGTTCGACCACCATTGGTGCCTTTCACATACACTTGGGCTTAAATGGTGCTCCCCAACATGGTTAACTTCCAGGGTTATGGATTTCGGGCACCTGCTGCCGGTGAACCACAACACTAGGAAGGTTTTAAATGGCAACCATGTGTCTTATGACACTGCGACCATCATAAATACATGCCAGTTGCCAAGCACCTGAATTGTGGGTGTGTGACTGTGGGGATGATCCAGTGGGTCTTAAGGGTGAGAACTGATCGTCAGTCACACTTTATTGGGCAGTTGTAAGTTTGAACAATCATTAAACAAATGGTTAAGGGTTGAGGACTTCCTGCAATGGTGGGACTTTGTACCTGGAAGGATTTTGTATTTTTTTTCCCCAGGTGGGTTTCTTTCCCAGCGAATGTGTGGAACTATTCTCAGAACGTCCCAGCCCAGGAGTCAAACCAGGTGAGTGCCTCCTTGTGCTCTGGACTTCCTTGAATCAAGCTAAGGCGAGGCTCTCCAAACTTAGCAACTTTTAAGACTTGTGGACTTCAACTCCCAGCATGGCTGGCTGGGGAATTTTGGGAGTTGAAGTCCACAAGTCTTAAAAGTTGCCAAGTTTGAAGGCCCCTGAGCTAAGAGAATGAACTAAATGGCCTACAGTCCCTTTTCATCCTCCTGTCTAGCAATGGAATAATTTGTAGTTGGCCCTTGATGAAGCAAATAACCATATGGAGAACACTACATAAAGCAGTAGCCATTGTGGAAATGTTCCCCCTTGGCGTGATCAGTGATCTAGTTTGAGGTGGTGGAAAGATCTGCAGAAGAACATAGGATCCTAGAATTCAAGAGTCTATAAGTGGTCATTTAGATCATGAAGACTAACATTATATTTGTGACATATAGCTAGATGAAACTTTGTGTTATATATTAATGTAATAAGTGTGAAATTATTATACATAATTTGAGAGATGTCAGATTGAGTGAACACTGTCTTGCTCACATTGCAATAAGCGGAATGCTTGGTTTTATTGTATTTGTATGAATTTGTTTAATAAAGTATTTTTCTAATTAAAAAAAAAAAGATCATGAAGACCTACCCTTTGATTCAGTGGTGGGATTAAAAAAAAAATTACTACCGGTTCTGTGGGCGTGGCTTGGTGGGCGTGGCAGGGAAAGGATACTATAAAATCTCCATTCCCTCCCCACTCCTGGGGGAAGATTCTTGCAAAATCCCCATTCCCTCCCCACCCCACTAACCTGCTTTCCAGCTCCGTTCTCCTGTGCAGGGCAACCAAAGGAGACCCAGCCAATCAGCTGGGATTTGGGAGGCGGAGAATAGATGGGGGCGGGGCCAGTCAGAGGTGGGATTTGCCGGTTCTCTGAACTACTCAAAATTTCCCTTACCGGTTCTCCAGAACTGGTCAGAACCTGCTGAATACCCACCTCTGCTCTGATTAGTGTTTATGGAGATTCTCGGTCATCCAGGTCATGCTTCCTTGGTTTTCTTATCCTCTTCCCCTCAACTTGGTGATGTGAATTTTTTTTTCATCTCTCTGAATTTTTGAAACTTTCTTTGTGTCTCCCTGTGTAGATGCAGAGGGGACAAGCTGTGTCCTTCCCACGACTCATGGCCTCCTGTCCCCGACCTCAGGTAAATTACACCCTAAATCAGGGGTGTCCAACCTTGGCAACTTTAAGACTTGTGGACTTCAACTCCCAGAATTCCTCAGCCAGCTTTGCTGGCTGAGGAATTCTGGGAGTTGAAGTCCACAAGTCTTAA